GGCGGCATTGGCAGGATGAGACCAAGCTTGTGCTGCTGGCCAGCCATCCAGCGTGACCTGCCTTGAGAGGGTTGAGGAAGGGACTACTGCCCTGCCCGACGGGCTCGCCTCCATGTCATCAAGTGCGTTCTCCTCCTGCTGAGGCACCCACCAGCACGCTACCAAGGGCAAACCTTCCCACACCTCACCCGAGACCTCCGGCCGGCGCTGAGGATCAACGTGGGGAAGCTTTGCTTGTTCAGAGAGGACCTGAGCCCACCTTCCCCCCCCCCCGGGGGGGGGGGGGCCTGTTGCCCCCCCCCCCCAACTCCCAGTGCCTGTGCTGGGAAAGGGGAGACACCGATGGGTGAAGGGTCCTTCTTCTGCTGGGGGTAGATGCTGCACCTCCCAGTCTTTGAGGGACCCGTGGAGGAAACAAGATTATCGATGATGATGATGATGAAGATGATGATGATGCCACGTTGTTGCAGTGGCCAGGGGAAGCCTCAGCGTGGCTCAGGCATAGAATGATCCAGGTTGGAAAAGACCCTTGGGATCATCCAGTTCAACCATCAATCCTACTCTCCAAAGTTCTCCCCTACACCGTATCCCCCAACACCACATCTAAACGGCTCTTAAACAGGTCCAAGGATGGGGACTCAACCCCCTCCCTGGGCAGCCTCTTCCAGTCTCTGACCACTCTTTCTGTGAAGAATTCCTTCCTAATGTCCAGTCTAAACCTACCCTGTTGCAGCTTGAAGCCCTTCCCTCTTGTTCTATCACTAATTACCTGGGAGAAGAGACCAGCACCAACCTCTCTACAATGTCCTCTCGGGTAGTTGTAGAGAGGGAGGAGGTCACCTTCCTCAGCAGCTCCTGGCCTTGCTCGTGTGTCCCCTCGAGGAACCCCCAGGAGTTCAGGGCAGAGACTTCCATCTCTCCCTTTGCGTGCGGGGAAAGGGCTGAAAACCCCCGAGAGGAGAGAGGGAGATGGGGGGGGGGGGGTATGGAGAGGGGAAAAAAAGTAACTTCCCCCCC